GACCAACATTGAACTGTTTCAAAGCCAGAATACACATCATGTTTGGAGGTCAAATGGCACTGCACATCAGCCCAAAAACATCATACCAATAGTGACCTTCAAGATTTGAAGACTGTTTGTGTGGAAGAATGGGCCAAAATCACACCTGAGCAATGCATGCCACTTCTCCATACAGGAGGCGTCTTGAAGCTGTCATTGACAACAAAGTCTTTTGTACAAAGTATTAGATAAATTTCAGTAAGTGTGTTCAATACTTTTTCCCTGTGCCATTCCACATTATTACAAATAACTTAATTTCTGGATATTTATGGTTTGATTTCTTTGTATGTATGGATCACTTGGGTTGTTTCCGACATCTGGTGAAAATTTCACGTCATTAGCACCTCTAGTAATATATTTACTGAGAAAAATGGTGACGTGTTCAATATTTTTTTTACCTTCTGTACATATATTTTCCCTAAATAAAGATAACCAAAGTGCAACATTGTATATTATTTTTAAGATGTGTGCTGATCAGGGTTTGAGAATGTGACAAAGTGAGTCATTGCATTCTGCTGGCTTCCTTAGATTGATTGTTTTTTGTTTGTTTGTCTTTTTGTGCCGTGCCCTGACATGTTTGTTATGACAAGGCACGACAAACTGAATTGAACTGAACTGACCTTAAAAACAACTATTGCCTTTATGTTGGATTTCATATTTAGTGCCATGTTTAACAAAAGTCAAAGGTGGTGCAATATGTTGTTTTGTTTTGTTTTTCCCAGTGTGCCACATCTCATATACGTTCACACAGATATTGAAATACAATCTGGTGTGGTAGTAGCTGAGAGTCATCCACAGCATTGYACTCCAAGTGTTAACAAACCGTGGGAACTTGTGCAAGATATTGCATTATTGYGTAGCTTTATCTCCATCATTTCTCAACACAAGCTGRTTTTAKTCTCAAACTCAGTAGCACAGGGGTTTCAAACTCATGTTCACTGAGGGCCACATGAACATTAAGGTGYCCTCAAAGGGTCAGCTCTAAATAACTTTGACATTTTCTTCGAATGAATACGGAACATCAAATTTCTTGTCTCATTGCTGCAGCAGAGCACCGTCATCAATAACTGAGCTCTACATGGTATTTCCTGCATAGAAACAGTGTTTTAACACTATGTGTACAACTGAATAAATATGAAATACATACTACAGAAATACTATTAAAAGTGAAAGTAAGAGAGTTTTACTCACTGTTGACTTGTTGTAAGTCTTGAATTCCGAGGTCTCCCACTTTCTGACAGAAAATTCCCATGCATAATCAACGAGCATTATGGGAGGTGTGGGTTTTGGTCAGTTCTGACTTTAAAGCCACTTATCTGTTCAACAAAGTTGCTCAGGGGGTCACAGTCACAGGACAARTATTATCTTTCACCTTTTCAATTTGTTTATTTTGTTGCCTTGAATCATAAATTTAAAGTTTACCATTGATATAGGAACTATTTTCATATTAATTATTTTTATTTTTTTCGGTGGGTAGGTGAGGGACGGGGCCGGATGGAAGTGGCCCAGGGGGCTTGAAATGGACACATGCAGTAGGTCGTTCCTGCACAATATTAAAAAAAAAAWTTAAAAACCCATTTGTTTTACTTCCATAACTAGGGAAGACAAACCAATATAATCCCACATATAAGAGAATTTGAAAAGCATTGCATCCATCTAAACAATCTATTTTAACAAAGTTTTTTCACAGTTTTAATGTTCTCCATGTGTCCAAAAATCATTCACTGACACACACTACATGCACATAATAAATTGCTCTATTATTCAGCAATCTAAAACTTGTGGTTGCAAAAGCCGCACATAATCTGCAACGGACAGCAAAAACAAATAATCATGAGTCAGAGCATCACAGTTAGCTGACAATGTACACAAAACAACCAAAAAAAAAAGGAGATAAAAGAATTTGTGGTCAATACTGTGATGGCTGACTCATTAGCACTTAGTTTATTTTGAAATTCTGTGTGTGTGTGTGTGGGGGGGGGGGGTATTCAAACAATGAAAACATCTCATGGCTGTTCAGAGACGTGTCCAAACATCTCCCGCTTCTTACTCATGGAATTGATACTTTAACGAACGAAGTGCCTCAACATGAAGCATTCAATAAAACTCTAAGTTCCTCATACTATATGGAACACTTAGTTGTGGAGTAATGGTAGCAGCAACACCTACGACATGTTCCATAAGATGTAATGGAAAGTTGTGAATTCCACATTCAACCTGTTTTGCAATGTGTTGTTTCCTTTCTGTTAGTTGCTGCTGGTCCATGACTGGGCATTTCTCAGTAGCAAATATCACACTAACAGACTCTCATACTTACAATCACATGATGCACATGTAGGAAAATAAATGCAAATATATTGCGAAGTCCAACTGTCATAGAAAATGAGTGTTTCCTGTGCAAATTAGCACGTTAAGTTTGAATATTTCAGCTTTGTTAGATATTTAAAGAGGTAGTTGGAATCGTTTGCAGAAGAGTTCTGTGGACAGGTTATGAACAATTAATATCTTACCTGTTGTAGATAGCTTTCGGGCAAKATTATCTTTGACTGGACTGATGAGCCAATGGCTATTTTATACATCTTTAGCAATTATCTTTGTGTCACACAGTTATTTATGTAGAATTCAGTGGTTACTATCAAACATCAGCAGCAGCTAGCTGTGGCATACCCAGTCAGTTCCAACAGGATTTCAGTTGTATTTCTGCAACAATTTGCCAAGAAAAAKAACTTGCAGCTTCAACACACACATTTGATTATTTTTTGATTTGTCAATCCCTTTATGAGCTATGCTTTTGTTCTAGCCACAAAGTTGTATTTTGTTACTCTGCAGAGTTTAACTTTGTGTTCTAATGGTGACCTTCACTGTTTTCCCCACATGGATACTACTGTGAGTTTRCACATTTTCCCTGACCGTTTCAGTTTCCTTCTAGGGACAAAACCACTGCATGCTCTAAAACAGGGGTTATTAACCTTTTTGACCTCGGGACCCAATTTGTTGAACATAAAGTGGCACGAGGCCCAGTCACACATTACCAATGTACGGATCAAAATGATAATTATTCTAAATCTTGGTTTAATTTTTTTATTCTATTTACATCTTAACTAAACTATCATAACTAACATTACTAAATTAAATACACTTACAGTTTAAAAGTAAAACTCCTGTCAAATAATCACAAGACAT